TACTAAGTGTCACATGGGGACACCAAAATGTTGGGAATCTAAAGTGACACCGAGGGGGACCATTTGTAGGAAATGCCTAAATATGAGCCTGACCTTGTAACAGATCTCCAATTAAAAAATAAAAATGGCTATCAGAAATAATTAATAGTCATTATTAATAATTATTAATTATGTTAAACAATGTGACTTAATTTACAATAAATCACCACATGGAGCACCATTCCCAAAAAGCGAAAAATGATAACCTGTAAATGGTATTAGTCTCATAAAGTTCACTTAACAATTAATTTGGAATTTTGATTGATAATTAAATCAATAACTGAAGCCAAAATTACTATATTAATTGTAAAGGCTGAGGGATTTCTGAGTTCTTGACATAGCAGAGGTTGACTATTCATTCACTCTTGTGCAATATTAAACAGACAGCAGGTATGATTCCAAAGAATTATATTTATTCATAAAGAAAGAGAGAGAGAGAGAAACAAAGGCAGGTGTGGTAATCAAAGGGCCATTTGGCCTACAAAACAAAATGGCTTACAACAGAGAACTACAAGATGGCTGAATCAAAGCTGGTTTCAGATCGGGGGAGGTCTTGTCTTACTGTGTGGACAAAGACAAAGGAAAAGAAGCAGGAACTTTGCGTTGCCTCTCTGGGTGTAGCTCTGTTGAAAGCCAATGTGTAAATGAGTCTATGTGAATGTGATATGTGTTGCAAATGGTCTGGATTAGTGCAGAGGATGTTTAGTTGCATGCAAGACTCTATGAACAGCATTAGCAAACTAACATCACTCAGCTTTGGCAAAGCCAACTAACCAATGATCTAACTGCAATAATCACAACAATGACTCAATAAACAACATTAAATCACAATCAACAAAGTTAAACAGTCTTGCTTAGCCTGTACGACTGTAATAAAGCTATGCCCAGTTAGTACATTACCAGTCCTTGAATGGATGGGGGGAAGAGTCGCTTTGTGCTGTGTGGTTTTTGTTAGCTGGCAGAGGAAAGCTGGAAAGAGCTGTGGTTCCAGAAGCAGTCTTTGTTGTGTGTTCCAAAAGTGCAGATCAGAGGAAGCCGGTCGCTCAGGGCCCGTGCAGAATAAGACATTGGGGTGCTAAGTTAGTTGCAAACCTTTTGTTTGCACACTAATTTCTCTGGTTCCCAGTTCTGCACCTGCTGTGAGTGAGGGCAAGTCATAGTCCAGGGCTGGTCAAGGGCCTAGGAGAAAGAACTACTGAGCTGGTCAACAGCCCAGCTGGAAGAGAAAGACAGATTGAACAATCCAGAACCTCTCTTGAAGTTTGCTTGGTGACCTCACAGAGTCACATGACACTGTTCAATCAAGTTTGGAGACTTGTCTCTTACTAAGGTGTGAGGTGGGGCATCCTGTGGAGATAATGGCCAAATGGCTATCTCTGTTTGAAGAACAAAGAACATGAGGAGAAGCCTTCCCATGTAACAAATGTCAAATCATCTGTGGTCCAGTGAATCCCAACATGTAAATGATGATTGTTTTTAGCCGCCACATTTATTAACAGCCAATCATTCCTACACTGTGATCAGTGAGATAAGAATTCCAGAATCACACATGAACCCCATTGTAAGATCTGCATTGGTTTGCAAGATAGATTGATAAACTAGGTTTAATTTCTATCACTTTTTCCTTGATTAGGCAAGTGAGTTGCCAGCTTTAGTAACACCCTCTGTGGCATTTTACCTGCCCCAGACAAACAGGCAATCCTTATTGTTGATCCCTGCTGCCAGATGTTGGTTAAAAATCATTCTGTGTTTCTTCCTTCAGGGTGGACCATTGTGGAGAGCAGAGGTTAAAACCTGGTCTGAGGAAGTGTAAGTGTGGATTCACTTTGACTTATGATGACAAAACACCACAGAGTCAGTTTCTCTTTAAAAGAGAAAACAAAGTTGAGTTGTGGTATTTATTAAGAAAAACATTACAGACAACTTGTCGTCATTAAATTCTGAAATGAACAACATCAGTGCAAAAACAAAGAATAAACCCTAATGTGCCCAATGATCAGCTGTTGCTGTGTTGTATTTTCTCTCCATCAGATTTCTGTCAACTCACACTGGACACAAACACAGTGAACAGAAACCTCAAACTGTCCGAAAACAGCAGGAAGGTGACGTGTGTGGAGGAGGAGCAGCCATATCCTGATCACTCAGAGAGATTTGACACCTTGCCTCAGCTGCTTTGTAGAAATGCTCTGACTGGTCGCTGTTACTGGGAGGTGGAGTGGACAGGACTGGTTCGTGACGCAGTGACATACAGAGGAATCAGAAGGAAGGGAAACAGTACTGAATGCGTGTTTGGCAGAAATAATCACTCCTGGAGTCTGTACTGCTTTGGTAATGGTTTCTCTGTCTGGCACAATAACAAAGAAACAGTCCTTCCTCTTCCTTCCTCCTACATCTCCCTCTCTTCCTCCTCCTCCTCCTCTGCCCATCACAGAGTAGCAGTGTATGTCGACTGTCCTGCGGGAACTCTGTCCTTCTACAGTGTCTCTTCCTCTGGCAAACTGACACACCTCCACACCTTCAACACCACATTCACATGGCCTCTTTATCCTGGGTTCAGGTTCCGCTCGCACGGTTCCTCTGTGTCTTTGTGTTCTCTGTAGGACGAGACAACTTCTAACCCTGTGGTTTAAATGTTGGTGGAGAAGGCTTCACTTTGGTTGACATTTGGCTCACTGATTGTGTCTTTAATGTCAGAAATGTGATTGTCTGAGAAATCGTGAAATTACTTTCTCAGGACTGAACTTGTTTTGTACAAACTGTGATGACTTGATTTTTTTTGTTGGTGCAGCATCTAGTGGAGTTTAAGTATATTTGTTAATGTTAAAGCTGGCGTTTGCAGTTTTCCGAAACAGCAGAAAAAAAATGGCAGAATTTGAAAATACACACTCCTCCTGCAGCTCCCTCCTCTCTGTCTGAAACCCCTCCCACCAGACAGGTACAGGCTAAAGTGGGATTTATAACTGTGGCAGACCCTACGCCCTAGCCTTCGCACGTCACCCACGCACGTTGCCTACGCCGCAGTGGGCCTTTATACTTGTGCGGTGGTGTGTCTGTGTCACTCTGCAGTTACACCTCCAAAACACTAGTCAGCAGGTGGCTTTCTGTGAAGTGCTGTAAAGTTTAGTTGATTCAAAACACACATTAAAAATGGCTTAATAGACAATTTCAAACACAAGTACACAAACTGGCTTCACAATAACTCGCAGCATTCACAGACAAACACTTGTCTTTATCCGGACACATTTTCCCCACAAATACAACATGCTAACGTCATTAGCACATTGTATAAATTAGCCTAGCAGCTATAGCAATCTTTCCCTCTTCTCATATAAAACCAGGGACAACATTTAACAAAGGTAACGGCACACAATTTGGCTTTATTACAACTCACAAGGTTCACCGACAAAATAACTGTCTTATACTAAACACGTTTAGCCTACATCTGCTTTCATCATTTCAAGTGTTAAAGAAATGTGAAAATGTGTAAAAAGAAATGTTAACACAAAAAATATGCATTCTCAGGAAAGAGAATAGATAATTACATCAAAGGATCCATCTGGGAATGAACCAACCAGTTACGACCACTCCTACGTAGGAGGTGTGTCCACAACAATCAGAAACAACAACAAACAGTGTCACAAGCTAAAAGGTGTAAATATGAATTCCTACTTCTGGAAACGTAGCAAGAAATTATGTATAAGGAGTTTTAGAATCCAGATAAATAAATGAAGATGCACATAAACACAAAAGTTGCATCCAATAATGCAGAAAACTTTCAGAATAAGCTTACAACATGTGTATGATCACTACTTGGAAAATTTGTGATAGAATAAGATCATGCTTAAAAGTGTCCAAAACGCACGAAAAACTACTAACAGCTACATGACCCTATTAGCCTAAATAATATAAATTATACAATAGAGCAAAGGAAAATGTAAAAGGGGAAGTTTCCAGCATAAATGCACCAGCAAAATACATATTAAGAATCCTAATATAACAAGAACTAGTCCATACCCATTGAGTACAGCATACCATACCATGACTTAGTCATACCAAAAATTAGAAAAAAACAAAACATTGGGCCACAGGGGGAGCCACAGCGATCGGTCGCATTTTAGCCATTTTTAAGCATTTTTCTGTTGTTATAGCGCCACCCAGTTGCCAATTAGAGTTAAATTTCTCCAGTCACCTTGAGGCGTCCTGTTCTACATATCTACCAAGTTTAGTAAAAATCGATCAGTTTCTTCATTTAAACATGAGTTTCATGTTATAATAATATGTTATCTTGTTATTGCATCAAATATTTCATGTTAAAACAATGTGATTTATCAAGTTATAACATGAAACATTTCATGTTGTATGTCCACGTTGTAAAAAGATAAATAGTATATTGTTATAACAAGTAAGGTTTCTTCTTTGTCCATCATAATAATGTGAAAATATCTTGATGAATGTGAAAAAGTACTCGTGACGAAACTTTTGTCATTATTAAACTGAACTGATTTGTTTTTTATTTATTTATTTATTTATTTATTTATTTGTTCTAGTGTGGCACTTCATTTCTTGAACTGTTTAATCGAAAGTAATATATAGGCAAAGTTTGACTCATGAAGCATTGTTTCAAAACTTGTATGAAGAGGAAGGCAACAACGATTCCTTTGCACATGAACACTAAGTCCTAAGTCTTATTGTCCAGTGAAAAATTGTAGCATGGGGGAAACTGATTATGAAACTACTGGATATGAAACAATTGTGGATTTTATTATATTTGAAACTTTCTTGGGCAAAACAAAGGGAAGAACTGCCAAACATTTTACTGACATATTTATAAACTTATTTATTCAGCAGTGAATTAAAACATGAATAACTGATGTAGAAATTAACCAGCAGACGAAAATTCACAAACTGATATATGTCCAATAGAAAATAATTTCAAAAATTTCTAAGACAAAAAACTGTGAACTGAAAAAAGGATCTGAAAGCGAATGATCAATCACAAAAACATAAAAAGTGAGAAATACAAATTGAGGGGATGTGATTAAAGTTATTTAAAAAGTGAACATTAGTCATGACAAGATGTGACTCCAGTCCTCGCTTCATAAAGAGCACTCTGCTTTCTCTGTGGGCACTAGATACTGTCATTGGATGTCAACTGTGAACTGCAAAACGGTCCACTATGTAACTTCCATTCAGATGTTCCCCTAATGCAGCTTGAGCACGAGGTCAGATCGTACTGCGTGGTGCTTCATACAGACATTCATTAATAATATGTTCAGTCTTCATCATTAACAGTCAAAGCAGTGAACCAAGCTGGATATTTATGTCTCGTTATTGAGACTCTTTTCATACAGCAGCTTGCTTAGCATTATGTTAGCACTGTGTTATGTGGCTGTCATGTGGGATTATATATTGAGTTATAGAGGCAATGTCTTCTCACAGATCCAGAATTTTTGGGCGTCACATGGTTCATCATTCCAGCTGTTAATTAAATAAAAGTCCTTAATTTCGGCACAGTCTTCGTCTCTGTCTGGAGCACCATTTGGCTCATGGTAGGTCCAGTAGCTGAAACCCCAAACAAAATATAAGCCTTTAACAAATAACACATACCATAAAGCATTTAGATTATAATTTCAAACATCAAACATTTGTTCAACTGTACAACTGTTGTTTTTTGTTGTTGTTGTTGTTTCCTCTTTCCTTTTTTTTTAATCAAGGGCCGAGCAATCATTTCTCTTTTTCTCATGACCACATGCAAACACAAACTGAAGAGTCACAACAACAAACCAAAGTCATATCAAATCACATCATTATGAATATTTGATTTGGGATTTATCTGTTTTCTCGCGGTTTCCCTGAATGAGCACATCAAGCAAGAATCTGGTCACAACAAACCATGGCAATGAAAAAGTATATGTAAACCTTGTAGTCAGCGGTGTCCCATCCACCCATTTCCATGTCCCCTCTGTTTCTCTGTCAGTCAGTCCAATCCACAGGACTGTCTGGAAACCTGCAGTAAACATCTTGAAAGAAAGAAACATTAATCAATAGATATGAAACATATACAGCGTTAGTCTATCCTCCACCTCAGTGACCTCACATTAAGCCTTCTTTACTCTTTCACAGATTCATACTCATACACACACACGCACCTGTTCTTCTCTGCTGTTGATAATAATCAGGTCTGCACCTCTTTGCACACAGTCGTCTCTACTGTCCTTCCAGGTTTTCATGTCTGAGGAAATGTAGTAGAAACTACCACTGAAATACTTCCATCCTAGTTGGGAGTAGTGATCACCTGCTGTTAATAAAAATAAGAAATATAATACGTGATTAATATCTTTTGATAATATCTATTCACAAAAATATACAGATAGTCAAAAGAGGCTAAAGAACCTGTCTTAATCAATCATCTCATGCCAAGATCATCTCATAATGAGGAAATATAAATCTCTCCATTCTGAGATACGAGTCTCATATTTATAAGATAGATCAGAATTACAAGATTAGAGCTGCGAAGTGGGCAAACATCTTATCATTTAGGATAGACTGTAGACATCTGTGAGTTGATCACTGTTGAGCAGTGAGTCTTTATTCCAAACAAGTTTTCATCAAATTATTAAACCGAAAGAAATACTTCACTAGGTTAACTGGTGACTCTAAATTGTCCGTAGGTGTGAATGTGAGTGTGAAACGTTGTCTGTCTCTATGTGTCGGCACTGTGATAGTCTGGTGACCTGTCCAGGGTGTACCCTGCCTCTCGCCCAATGTCAGCTGGGATAGGCTCCAGCCCCCCCGCGACCCTCAAAAGGATAAGCAGTTAGAAAATGGATGGATGGATGGATGGAAATACTTCACCCCCCACATGACAGTTTGTACATCAATTACTAACCCCATGTTAGAATACAAAAAGGTGAAAATTCCTGATGAACTGACGTAAAGGGGGGGCACAGTTAACAACAGCAAAACTATGTCAACTATTTTGGATTCTTTGTTCACCATGGAGACATGTGAGAAAACTTCTTCACAAATTCAGTGTAACACAGGGTGAGTGAAAGACATACATTACCAAAGTATTCCATTTCTTTACACTGACCAGGTGCATGCAACAGATAGAATTCAGTTTGTGTAAATATTTATTGAATGTGAATTTATAGACCACTTCAGTCTTCACAGTGTGGCATTGTTTTCTTTGTTGTTACCTGTTATAAATGAATGATAACTGTAGAAAGTGAATGTGTAGCAGCAAGGTGTATATAGTATAGGGTTTGGGACACCTCAGGCATGTTCCCTGACCATTCCTGCACAAATGTATTGTATGTACATCAGCCTAAAGAGCTCTTCTGGTGCCGGCTGACACATAAGCCCTTTCTAGATAGGAATTGTGCAAATTTGCAGGAAAGCCCAATCAGTCTTTTTCAGCATTGGCAGTATAAAAACAAAATCGGGGAGTGCAGCAGAATGCCGCCTGCCTACTTTTGTTCATACAGAATGTGCCTTTTTCAGGGCAATGGAGGGCGTGAGCAAGTAACAAAACTCGTGTGGCTCAGCGTGTGACATAAACAGTGACGTGGGAGGGAAGCCGCGGCTGGTCAGGCGGTGATAGTCAGCCGGCAATTCTCTCGTAAATCGGCCCGTTCTTCACCGTTCCTGTCATCTGATGGTTAATGGCCTCTTCGTTTGCGAGGGCAAGAAGGGCGCGCAATTCCTTGTCTCCCCAGTTGCTCATCTTTACAGTGTCAGGTTTGCGTTTCCCTCTTGCTACTAGCTGCTTGCTAATTCCTGCTATCAGCTGTTTCCTGTTTATCCACCGCCAGTGGCTCGCACGTGCGGCGTCATCAACAGCTCCTCCCACAAATCTTCAACAGCCCCTCCCGTGGTGGAAGGCCGCCTCGGTCTGTTTAAACTAAAAGGGTTCCACCAATATAACTACCCTATGAGGCAGAAAATTGGGCACCTCGGATCAACTCCCCATTCCGCCTCTGTGTGTCTAAACGCTCGCAGCTGGCCGGCAAAACGGCCCAACATTCGCGGAAAATCTGGCAGTGTAAAAGGGGCTATAGAAACCTCCTGGCAATAAAATAATAACATTTCCACATGCCAAAATTGTTGCGGAAGGGATGCCCTTTTTTTTCACTTGAGCATCTGCTCCACAAAATGTCTGTGCACGGCACTGCCGAGGCTAATCTAAGGCCTGATTATTAGTGTAACTACTTTTATCCTCAAACTTACTGATTTGAATCAGCTTCCTCTTCAGCTCGTCTCTCTCTTCAGTCACGTTCTTGCAAATGGTCTCAAAGTCTTGTGTCTCGTCATCAGAACTGCCTGAAAGAGCAAAAAGACTTACATAACAATTCTGCAAAGAAAAAGCTAGATTCAAACAAGAGGTCATTCTCAGCTGCACCAAAATCATTTTACCAATATAATTACGTAACTGCTCCTCTCTCACTGGTTGTCTGGATTCACATCTGCTTGACAAACACACACAGCATAATATAGCTACTGGTGAAGGGGGACAGGAGGTTGGCATAAGCAGACCAAAGAGCGCAGGAGGAGGAGTTCAGACAGGTAGGGGGGAGCCAGGTTGTGGAGAGCTTTGAAAGTGATGATGAGTTTGAAGTGGATACGCTGGGGGACGGGGAGCCAGTGGAGGTTATGAAGGACGGGGGTGATGTGGTCACGGTTGCAGGAGTGTGTGAGAAGACGAGCAGCTGAGCTCTGGATATACTGTAGTTTCAAACCGTAGAGGAGACTGTTGCAGTAGTCCAGTCTGGAAATAGTGGATGAGAGTGTCTGCAGTTAAAAAGGAGAGTGATGGACGGAGATTGCCGATGTTTCTGAGATGAAAGAAGGCTGTTTTGGTGATGTGTTTGATGTGTTGGTCAAAGGAGAGGGTTTGATCAAAGATGACTCCAAGGTTATGGACATGGGGGGAGGAGAGCACAGTGCAACCGTCGATGGAGAGGGAGAAGTTATGGGTGGTTTGATAAGAGATTTGGGACCAGCAATGCACACTCCAAGGCCTAATTAGTAATGTAACTATTTCGTCTTTAAACGTACTCATCTCAATCAGCTTCCTTTTCAGCTCATCTCTCTCTTCAGTCAGGTTTTTTAAAATGGTCTCAAAGTCTTTTGTCTTACAATCTGAACTGTCTGAAAAAGCAAAAAAAAAAATTTAGATGACAATCCTGAAAAAAAAAAAACAACTGGATACACCTTCATGTCAAGCAAGCGGCAATTTTGTGCAGAGAGGTCATTTTCAGTGCACCAAAATAACAGCAAACCAACAACGTAGATTGTAATTGTAATTATTCCTCCGATCAGATGGTGATTTTCAGTATAAATCTGGAAACAGAGAGTTGAAGTGCAAAAACAATTTAAAACAACTCACAGAGAGCAAGACGCAGGGAAACGTTGAGAGCAGCTTGAAGGATACACAGCAGTCCAAAGCTCACAGCAACCGCTCTGTACAGTTTTCTCTCTGTGCAGAAATCACACACACACACACACACACACACACACACACACAGAGAGACATCACATATCGTTGCTTTGTCAGTGGCCTTTCATGTCTACATGTTACATGCATCTGCTGTTGACATTCCAGGACATTCTACCAACACCGGGCTGTCAACAAAAGCACATGGTTAGGTTCAGCATTTGGGAAGTGAACACCACGCTCCTGTGTGAAAGTCCAGGGTTTGTTCAACCCAGGGGCGTAAATATAGAGAAGGCAAACCAACCTCCGTCATTGTTTCCGCTTTTTTCTTTTGTGAAATAGTCAGTAGAAATATATTACAAAATGAGATGTTAATTTTACATAAACTATACAAATTGTTCAACAAATATTTCCTATTTTATTTGGTATTTTTGTCATATAGAGATTTGCAGTGACGATTGGTAATATGTATGCTGATGTTGTCCAGTGCTATAAATGCTATAAAATTTACGGTAGCTGTTTCGAAGCAAAATCTGGTTTGTCCTAACAGTGTGCACTGGGGCCTATCTCAACTACCATACACCACTGGTTGGACTGACCCCCCTACAGAGACTTTCCAGCTCCTTATGTTGTTTTCTTCAGCATTTCAATCTGACGCTGTCCATAGGCATATGAGACTGATGCTACAGATGCCGTAACAACGTAACAACATGAAAGATTACATCAGGCCTCGTTACATAGTGATGCTGCCCAGCCACATATCATACCACTGAGAAAGGTGGCTTTTGGAGGTGGGTGTCTGAAATCAGTGACAAAGCTCCAGTATTTAATGACTTCAACATGAGAACGGGCTGGTCATTATCAGGGTGCTTCATAATAATAATGATAATAATAATAATTGTGTTCTTTGAGTATAGAAATGCAAAATGACTTTGAGGCAGAAACTCCAACTGCATGACCTAATAAATATCTTTCTGTATTTTCTAGGTAATTAAAGAGTTAGAGTTGGTGAGAAATCATTTTATGAGGATCATTTTACTCCTGTGTTCATGCTAACAATAACTTTTTTGGGTCTTGTCTCACAAGACCTGCCAACCATCTGTGCTTTGCCTTGTTTTGTAATGTATTTATAGGTGGTGCCATATCGTGTGTTCCAAGCAATAAATGAGCATTTTATAAATGCAGTAAAAGTCTACAGCAGTAGCGTAACAGTCATATGCCTATTTGCTTTTTCTCAGAGTTAGATGAAAGGACTGATATCAAACTCGTGTAGCACAGAGATGGGTCAGGATGTGAGAAACAGCTAACTTGATACTGTCAAACTTCAAAATTGTGTGTCCCAACACTTTCAAAGCTGTATTTGGTTAATTTCCTCCAAACACAAACTGAAATCTAAAAGTTGGTGGTCATATCAGGAGTTACGTGCTTGTTTGCTGTTGAACACAGTATATTGATATATATTGAGTGGAGGAGTTAAGCAGGTTTTCTCCTGTTTGAATTATTTTCTCACAGAATTTTGAGTAGTTGCATTGTTGTGCACACACTAATATACCCAGAAAAATGTAGTACAACTTAGTGTCTATGGGACTGAAGGTCACTGAGGATGTAGTCAGGCTGAATTCAGATAAATCTCCTGTGTCCTCTGTTAACATATAAATAAAAGTAAATATTATACTCATGTCACATCCAATGAAAGTAAGCACAGCATTACAGAGGATTTTTATTATCTAATAAACAGCTTTTCTGTGCATTTTCTTTTTAATTTCCATATATATTGAGCACTTTGAAATATACGTTACAAAGTTCTACAACTTTTTGTGCCAGAAAACATTAATGTCTATATAGCTGTTGGCTTTCATTCTTCAAACTGAACATTAAAACTACAGTTGGATTGTAGGAAATCTCTTACCAGGCACTGCAGCAGTCATTTCAGTGTCTATACCTTCAAGATCCACTGTGAACTCAGCTTTGTGGACACTCCTCGCCATATTTTGCACACTAGATGGTTCTGATGTATTTCTCAAGACAGCCACTATCAGAGATCTGCTTCTTCTTTTTAATGTTCCTCTCTTAATATTCTGAAACCACTTTTTTGTTCTTCCTCATTTTTCAGTAACCAGTCTAATCTATGTCTCATTTATCCTGTGGTACGCTCAGCGCTTCTCAAAGACACAGCCCTTTCCAACAGGGAGCTAAATTAAAAGAGAAGCTTTTCTGTGGTTTCTTCAAAGCCAGACTCCATCAACAAAAATTTTACCTCACTGAACATGGTAGATGCTGCTCTACCGCTGCCTTGAGAGGTAGTTTGTCTTATTGTGGGACTGCAGTGAATCCAAACTATACCTTTAACACACGTCAGTGCTATATTCAGTGACTGTGGTGCAGAAATTATACATTAAAGCAACATAAAACAATTTAAAAGTGACATTAACGTTGCCCTTGTCACTATGTTGCAATGGATATTTACAAAATTGTGTTGTCACTTTAGTTACGTAAAAGGATTATCTTATCACCCAATCCGCTAACTGACATTGTTCAACTGGAAGATGAATAATTTCTGTTATCTGAGTACTTCTGCTCTGACGCACACAAGGACAGATCCTGACCAAATATAGACTCATTGCACGAATTACCAACCCAGAAAAGGATGTTGTTATTGTGTGACATAGGAGAAGCAGAACAGCCAGAGATACATTTTCTCCTATACTCTTTATGTAATAAACTGTAGGAAACAACAGAGTTATCCCAACTATCCTGATCTGACAATAGAGAGAGAATGATATACCTACTGAGGAAAAAATAAGTTATCAGAACAGTTAAAGGTAAAAAAAAAAAAAAAAAAGACTTTTCAAGACTGGAGATGATGTACTCCCTAAAACTAAGCAGATGTATAGAATGTCTATTTGAATGTCTATTTAAATGTAGGTTATTGAAATAAGTATTTTTTAATTATTATTTCTGCCTTTTAAAAAAACAAATGGTCAGGATTCGAAACAAAGTATCACAGTTAGACAAAGAAGATGTATCCAAAATTAAGAAAGAAAGATTTCATCAAGATAATATCTGTAAAGGAAGTGAAAACATGAAGTGAAATTACAGCATACTGTCCAGACCATGACCATGGGAACTTTGCATCAACACTGATGCTTCGGTATAGATAGGAGTTACTCAAATATGCATACATTGTCCTGTAATATAGTACTGTATTTGAATGATGATAGTGAGAAAAGGTCAAAGGTTAACTAATAGTTAAGCCAAGAAGAACAAGGTTGTACATTGTGTTATCCATCATGTTAGGATGGCAAGTTATAGATACCTATTTTGAGTGTTGCCACATTTAAAGGAGGTGTGAGAAGTTGTTCATCATAGTAGAGCGGTGGAGATATACTGTAGTTGCTGTAGGTGTACAGTTGGAAGGATAACATGCACAGGACTTTGAGCCAGGAAACAAGTGTCCATGTCCTGTGTGATACTAAAAGTAAACACTGAGCTATTTTGTCACGTCAGGCATTAGTCACATAAGTCTACTTACATGAGTCTAACAACTACCACAATCTTTTCCTAACCAAGAAGTTTTGTTGGCCAACTCCTTGTTAGTCATGTGAGTCAACTTATGACACACCGCCAACCTCTTGTGCATCAAGGCTGTGTTTGTGTGAGAGGATTACAGGCACAGGTAAGATTTGTTACTATGTCCTAATTCATGTCGATATTCCCTAAATTTTGTCATTCTGTTATTGTGGAGCATCATGATGTCAGCCCTCTAAAGACATCATCCACATCACCACAACATTCATACACATATTCATGTCAACACAGACTAATAACATGCTGCTGATCTTTCTCAATGCTGTGATTAGAGGATCAATATTATATTGATTTTAATATATATATTGCTGCATTTGTGGGGCGACCTCTAGCTTACCTGGCAGAAGGTGCACCGGATATAGGCTGTGTCCTTTGCAGCTGCCCAGATTTGATTCCATACTGCGGCCCTTTGCTGCAGGTCATACCCCACCTTTCCTGTCAGTCCTCAGCTGTACCATCAATTAAAGCTGCAGTTGGAAATAAGCTTTGATCTCTCTGTATTCTTCATAGGAAAAGACAGAAACCATGACCATTTACCAAGAATTCTAACATGAATTTATTCGAACAACTAATAGTGGACATCTTCTTTAAGAAACACTAGTCTTTTGTGACTGCAGACTAAACTGAGTGAAAGAAAAAGAAAAATATGACTAAATGGATGTAAGTCATGTTTGCACATATCAGATTCCATTGCAAATTAAACATTTAAGATCTACAAAGTTAAGTCAGTGAATTGACCTCAGAGTCCCCAGTCTACAGAACGGTCTCTCCAGAAAACCACACAACAGCTTCACTCCTGAATCAAACAGGTCGTTGTCACTCAGCTCCAGCTCTCTCAGATGGGAGGGGTTGGACTTCAAAGCTGAAGCTAGAGAAACACAGCTAATCTCTGACAACCTGCACCAACACAGTCTGAATAAAGAAAAAATAAATTTTAGAAAATTGACACCGCAGGATGCAGGTTACGAACTGTAAAATACAAAAAGTGAAAAAGAGCTCTCGCTACTATTAATGAAAATGTGCCACTAATAAATTCATAGTTACTTCACTTCAAATTTTGCCAGCCTCACCAGTAACTCTATCTATACAATCTCATGTTGTGCAGCCAAAAGCAAATAAAAATCCACAGAAAGTGATTTAACATTTGACTTAAGATCCCCAAGGAAAACATAAAGCAGCATTAGAAGACTGTACTGCTTGTCTTTGATCAAGTTCAACTCCCTGAACGAAAGCTGAAACACTGGACTGACATCTTGGTTTTCCAAACCCTCTGCCTAGTCCAGAGTGAGTGAGAACTTCTGCAGTGAGAAGGTTTGTCCAACACCAGCAACGCCGCTCATCAAAACAACTTCCAGTTCTTGATTGGAGTGTCATGGAAGGACTTCATCTTAGAGGCTGTCTCAAGCTGCTTTATTTCATATTGGGTATTAACCTCTTTGCTCTGTCCCTCTGTGATGTAGAGCTCAGTGTAGATCCTGCTGAGGAGAGTTTTACCTCTGCCTCATCAGTTCCTTCAGTCACTCATTTGCATCTCCTGCTCAGACTCATCTTATGTTCATCTTAAACCTCCTGCAGACATACTGAAAAGTCAAAAAAAAAAGTGAGCCACAACCACAAAAATTCGACAATCTGGTGAATTATTGCATTACAATGAAAAAAATATATATTAAAACAGATGGATTACTGAATGGGTCTATCAAGTACAAACCCAGGGGCCCAGATGGTCAGGGGCCCCCCGGAGTTCACCTGAAAAATGTCACTCAAACTAACATGTACTGACCAGCAAGCACCAAAATTACTTCTCAAAGACACACAAAATAACCACAAACGGCATAAAACTACAAAATGTTTGTGCGTCTTGCTCCTATGTAGAAGAGGTGGTTGAACCTTATGCATATCTGTGCCCAGGGGCCTGTTGTCTCATAATGTCCATGACTAGAAGAACATATAAATGAGTAAAGTTTATAAAATCCAGCTTCAGGGAGAGCACAGAAATGCTCCTGTGTCTCTCAGCCTCTGACTGTGTGTCAGTGCACATGTTTTAGGTAACACTTTACAATAAGGTACACAAAATTAAAGTAGTTACTGAGGAACTAATGAGTAACTAATGAGGAATTAATGAGTAGTTACTGAGGAACTACGGTACACAAAATTAGAGTAGTTACTGATGAACTAATGAGTAACTAATGAGGAACGAATGAGTAACTAATGAGGAACTAATGAGGGACAAATGAGTAGTTACTGAGGAACTAAGCTACACAAAATTAGAGTAGTTACTGGGGAGCTAATGAGGAACTAATGAGGAACTAATGAGTAGTTACTGAGGAACTACGGTACACAAAATTAGAGTAGTTACTGATGAACTAATGAG